AGACTTACTTTGTTATTGTATATTTTCAGCCGTATTTTTGTTCTCCTTCTTCAGGAATTGGGGGTGGAGTTTTCCCACAGCTTTCTGCCATAAGATGGCCTTCTGTCTCCGGTCTGTGCTTGGGTGAATTTTCAGAGGGAAGAAAGACCCGGTTGCTGCCAAGTCTTCTACCTTCTGGGCTCACCGTCTGCTTGGGGGTGACCTCTCCTGGCCTCCCCTTCTGTCCCCCCGTTTCTAGAGGGACGACGGGCTGGGCGGTTCCAGTTTATCCCGGGAGCTGTTAGCTGGGAGCTGCTGGCTTCACTGCAGTCAAGCTCCGCCTCCTCCTTATGGTAGCAACAACAATTGAGATACCTTTTGTTCATCCTCTACACAAGCACCTTGGTTTTGAGTTGTATTTACATGCAATTGAGGGCTGGGATAAGGAGTTACAAATTCACCAGGGCTAGCTTCAGATTTGAGAGGACTTCATCTATGTTAGTGGGACCATCTGTGTGCTTCTAGAGTAGTATGATGTATTCCAGTCAAGAACAGGTGACACACCCCCCCCCCTGGAGACAACTGGGAGCAGGCATTTTAAGTTCTGAAAAGGCCTTGAAAATGAGAGTTCCCAGCCCCGTCTGTTTGTCACTGTTGGGAGTATCAGAAAATAATTATTTAAAGAACTCATGGAAGACCCTGCCAATCCCTGTGCCCATGAGAAGATGGGATGTGCTGATAGCAGTCCTGGCTCCCAAGTGTGAAGTGCTGGAATTATCTCTTGCCTCCTGGTGGAGTGCCACATGAAAGCAGCTGTGCTTCATAGCTCCTTATGTGCTACACTCGCCACATTGATGAAGCACCACTAGGTACTTCATTAATATGGTCATGAATATGCTGTCCTTGGTTGATACGAAGGGTTTTGCATTCTCCTCAATAAATATTTCCGCATCACAAACTACAGTATTTCTGGGAAAGCTTCTGTATAAAATAAAAGCAACCAAGTGAAACAAGCTCTCTGTATTGCACAGCCATTGTGTCCTAGCACAACATGCAAACTGCGAAGACAATTTGCATCTTAAGACACTTCACGTCTGTTATTTCAAATCATGATGTTTGTTCCCAGATCTCCTGAGCCTGAAAAGCTTTAAAGTATGTGGGCAACACAGAGTAGCAACTTAAAAGAACTGCTCTTGAAGAGGGGCCAAATAGGTATTCACTAGCAGGAGCAAAATATATTTTAAAATGGGCATACTTTTGCGTTCTTTTAATTTCAAAATATGCAGAAACTAGATTTACTAAAGCATTACTAAAACACACCCATACGGCACTCTGCATAAAGTAATTACTTTCTGTTAGAACAGTGATAGTGTTAATAAAAAGAAATAACTTGTTATGCTGATGGTCCTTTTGCCAATTTTTGGAAATGTTTTGCATTGTTGGTTGGCTATGCCTATAAGGTAACCTGTGTATGTTTAAGTGTCTTGAAATATCCTGGTGGAGAGGAACTCCAGTGCGTACTGAGATTAATACTGTTCCGTTGCCAATAGGAATTGGGTTATTGGATGCTTCCAGAGAACATCAGATCACGTAAAATACAAACTGGCAGACCTCCAAGCTGTTTTGCCCAACGTATTGCATTTTAACAATTTCATAAAAGCATCTTTCTCTCCCTGACAGAAGACAGTGATGATAATCATAGCAATCAGTCCAAAATACAGACAGGATGTTGAAGGGGCTGAATCCCAGCTGGACAAGGATGAACATGGCTTACATACTAAGTACATCCACAGGATGGTAAGGGAGCACACGTGCTTGGCGTTAAAAAAATGCAGCTTCCCTTCTCTCAAATAATTGCCCTTTGTGTGACTTGTCCGCAGTGCTACAGTTAAGCAGTGTTTTGCTGGTGTTAAAACTCCATATTAGTAAGTAAGCATATTTTATAAGCAATGGCAATTGTGATTGCTCAAAAACTTGTTTTGAGATCAGCCTGTTTGTTTTTCTCTATGCTTCTGCAGCCTGTTTAATCCCTTTACAACCCTGTTTCCATCCTGACTTTGTTTTACTCCAAAAAGGTACAGAAACCCACAGATAAATCTGACTGCTGGACCAGTGAAAAGAAACATACAAGGAAGGAAATTCCCATCTGTGTATTTTCAAATGCCTCGTAACTAGAGTGCTCTCATTCTCTGTTTATTTGATCTCGTCTCCCTGCGGCCTTCCTCTTGCTGCAGAAGTCCAGCTTGCCAACACTCTCCAGAAATTCTCTCAGGAATTGTTGCTGATCACATCTAATAAACCAACACAAAGCTAGCTCCTTCTTCAACTTAAGTAAAAAGCCATGCCTGTCCTGGGTACTTCCAGAGTTCAGGTTAATATACACTGTCAAGCATTTACAGAGTGAGAGCAGACTATGCTGCTGCAGAAGGGTGTGGCTTCAGACATTGCAAAGATTCATTTTCCTAATTAGGAGGGGAAAAGAGAAAGCAGTTTGACCATTCTAACAACAGCTAGTCTCTTCCTGCATTGGTTTGCAATGCCACAAGCTGGTTTTCCATTTGGATCAAAATGCACAATCTAGCAAAATATCTGAAAGAGTGCCTATCCCTATACCAGCTGTCTGTGCTCTGAAGCAATCTCCATGTATTCGTAGTACATTCTGATGTAACACAGGAGATAACTTCCTCTGTTATGGCACCCGAGGTCAAAACCTATATGTTTGCCAGGTAATTTAAATTTGATTAAACTGGCTGTGTAGCTGGCCATTCTGAATCCCTTCTGCCTTTAACTGATGTACTTTGCTACGATTTTACAAGGATTGTTTATTATGTTTCATAAATGGCTTTGAGAGGTGTTACAGAAATACTTAAAATGACTAAATAAAAGCAACATAGCTCTCCATCACATTCCACTGCTTTTAGTTAGAACACAGTCCTAATTACCAGGTAACTTCAGATTAATCAGGATGTTGTTAATCCAGGTCTCCTAACTGATTCCTAACTGATTTCGGATCTTGATATTTAAAATAGTATTGCCACTGCTTCAAGGCCTTCAAACAAAACACAGCAGGGACCCAAATTTCTGTTCCAGATTTACGGAAGGTTCTAAGCTATCCTGTAAACCAGGGGCTTCCTGCCTACCCCTTGAATGTTCAGCTCTGTTATCACAGACCCCGCCATGCTGATGGAAAGTCCTGTCAGCAGCACTCAGAAAAGTTATTTTGGGAAGCAGGATTCTGTTCTTTCTTTCTGCCCATACAGTGGTGTATTGGCTGGTCAGTTTCTGAGGTTCTGCAAAGAGATATCCAGCACTATATCCTTGTGCAAGCTTAGCAATTGTCTAACTGTTCAAACAACTAACAAGATTCTATTTTCAAACTGTACCTTCTGAACTCAGTCATGGCCTTCCAGAGGGAAAGGAGGGGGAAAGAATTGTGGGGCTGGCTGGTTGCTGGCAGCGGGCAAGGAGATGAGGTGTGTGGTGGTGGCAGCAGTAGTAGTAGTGGGAAGGAGGAACAAAGAATATCAGACTGGTGGCTGGCAGTGGGCAAGGAGGTGGGGCCCACAGCAGGAGTGGTGAGGATGCTATAGAGTAGTGGGGGTGTCTGGTGGTGGGCAAGGGAGTGAGGTTCAGGCAGTGACAGGAGTAGCAAGGAGAGGGAAAGAGTAGCAGGGCTGACTATGCATAGTCAGAAGTAGAAGCAGCAGCACAGACGAGAGGGGACAGAGCAAGGCAGGCAGGAATGGGTTTGGAATATCAGCATTAGGCAATTTAACATACATTAAAGAAATGATGGCCACAAATGATGGAAACATGGATAAATATGGAATATCTGTGTCCCTCTCATTCATCAAAAATTATTAATATTTCTTAGGCTCTCTTTTAGAGTGCAACAGAAGAAAAGAACACATGTAATATCCTCTTTTGTCTTGTTTTCATCTGTCCTAACCAAAAAGTCCCACCCTTAATAGCTACATCTGTGGAAGGTTGATGATGTTAACGGCAGAGGGAGATTTTCTGTAATGAAACACTTCTTGTTTCTCTCCCACAGCTTTTCTGACTTACATACAGTGAAAGTCATGGGGCAGGAGGAGGAAGTTTTTCATTACCAACAATCTTCCCCCTGCTGGCAATGCAATCTGGCACTGAGCATTTTTGGTAGTAAAAGACTTCTTCCTTCCATCCTGTGGCTCCCATGGCTTCCATGTGATGAAAGCTATTATTTGCAAGTCTGAAAAACTGCAAGAAGTGGAAAATCTTTAATAATAAAAATCCCTCCCACTGGTGACACCATCATCCTTCCACAGGCAAAGCTATGCCAACAGGATTACAGCCTCAGACACACACTTTTTGTAGTACTGTATATAGCACATATCCAACAGGTATAAAACCAGAAATCAGCATAGTGATCTTCAACAAAGAACTGTATCTATTCAGACTTAAGGTAAAGGGCAAGATATACTAACCCATCACCACCACACTGAATGGCTTTGTTTCGATGCGGACACTGACCAAGGGAGTGTATGTAGTATTTGATCCAGTATAATGATCAAGCACTCACTGTCCTGAAGCCTATTCTGTAAAAAACCAGGAGAGGCCATTTACTCCTACTGGACTGAAGATGTTTGACAGGGGATATTCATGTTATTTATGTGGAGTTGTTTGGAGAATGTAAAGCATTTACAGTAGAAAAATTATAACTGTTACAATTAATGTGGACTGATTTTGTTTCTTCATTTCTTAGATGCAGATTGAGTTTATACAGCAAGGAAGCATGAATTTTAGATTCATTCCTGTGCTTTTTCCAAAGGCAAAGAAGGTAAGGAGAAAATTAATTGAATTAATAACATTTTATTTAGGGATGAAAATACAAGCTAAGATACAACAAGCTTTTGTAAGCCTTTTTTTGCATGATGAATAAATCCTCTTGGTATTTGAAGTAATATCCAGGAGAAATGCTTCACAGCATTTTGAAGCGAAAGTATAGTTTGCGTCAAGAATATTAATGTACTGAAACATTTTTAGTGCTGATGTATTATAAAATTAGTACTCAGTTTCTTGGGGGAAAAGGTTATTTGAAACATTGCTTTTTAAATAATAAATTATTTCACAATTTTACATAGAAGGAGTTACTGAGAGGTGGGGTGTTCACTGATTCTTGAGTATACTGTAACATTTGGAAAGAAGATAATTCCTGCAGCTGGGAAGATCTTTTTAAAGCTCTGCGGATGAAGAGTTCTTGAAAAGTCTGCAATCCTGTTCTGTAATTTGTACTATGTAAATTTGATGACACCATCAGCTGCGGTGATTGCAGAATGAAAAAAAGTCCCATTTTCTGCCCCCACCAATGTTTCCCAGGTTCCCATGGAATCCCATTCAACACAAGGAAGCCACTGGGAGTCATGGGATGGAAAGTAGTCTTAAATTTTTTAAAAAATAACTTCCGGGATGATTTTACCAATGGTGGTGATTTTCTGAAATTAAAGACTTCCCTAGTATCCCACAACTCCCAACAGCTTCCTCACAATGAAAGGGATCTCATAGGAGCTTCAGGGGAGAATGGGAATGTTTTTATTTCTGAAATATCACCACAGTTGATGATATCATCAACCTTACATGGCATAAGTTGCAGAACAGGATTTCAGCGTATAAGTATAATTGGTATAGCAGAGATTGTATATCTGTATAACTGATATTTTTATCAGAAGCTATATTGGCAACTAGAAGAAATAAATCTGCTATCAATCTTCTGAATATAAGTAAACGAATGTTGCCTGAAATCCAGTAGTAAAGTCGCAACCAGAGTAGGTCCATTGAATCAGTAGGGATTTGGTGTGTCAATGAGCCCGCTCTAGTTGCAACTTATTACTGGATTTCAGTTACAATCTAAACAAAAGTTATGCATTCTCAGGTTTGTATGAGCTTAGCTCCCTAACCCCCCCCCCAAAAAAATTAGGAGCATGATCCAGCAATAAATCATTATTTGTATCACTTTTATTTCTACAAGCATACTTATCCCTTGTTAAAATCAGTGAACACAATGTTGTCATGCTAGATTTTGCTTTCAGTCCTCCTCCCAGGCAGCCAATCACTAAAGGAAAGCCTGTCTGAAGAGAAAGATTTTTGCTTGTGGCGAGACAGTGAAGATAAGTCCAGCCTGGCATCCTATCAAAGGGAGTTTCAGAGTCGGGGTGTAGAGACAGAGAAAGCCCTCTCCAGTGTCCCCACCTTTGAAGGTTGTGGGAGTGAGAATAAGGCCTCCCCTGATTATCTTAACAAATGGGTAGGTTCATCAATGGTGAGGTAGCTTGGACCCAGACTGTTTAGGGCTTTATAGGTTAAATCCAGCACTTTGAACTGTGCCCAAAACCAGATTGGCAGCCAGGGATGCTGCTGTAACTGGGGAGTTATATGTTCCCTGTAACCAGTCCCATCTTATAATCTGACTGTGGCATCTTGGACTCATTGGAGTTTCTGAACACTTTAAAAAGGCAGCCCACGTAAAGTGCATTAAGTAATCCAATTAAAATATAACGAAGGCATGTGCCGCTATGGCCAGATCATGGCTTTCAAGGAAGAGGTGTGGCTGTTGCACTAGTTTTAACTGTACAAAGACACTTCTGGCCACTGCCAAAACCTGGGCATCGAGACTCAGAGACAAATTCAGGAGTACCCCCAAGCTGCACGCCTGCATTTTTAGAAACAGTGTAACCCCATCCGACAAAGGTTGCGTCATTATTCCTTGCTCTGCCTTTCAACTGACTAGGAGCACCTTTGTCTTGTCTGGTTAAGTTGCAATTTATTCACCCTCCTCCAGTTCATTGCTGACCTGAGATATTGACCTGGAGGTAAAACAGCTTCCTTGGATTTAGATGGAAAGGAACAGTGTCCCCCACAAACTGAATGTTGATAAGTGAAGTTCCACTCATGCAAAACATCTGACCACTCAGGTTTTAGGGGTGTGTGTGTGTGTGTGTGAGAGAGAGAGAGAGAGAGAGAGAGAGAGAGAGAGAGAGAGAGAGAGAGAGAGAGAGAGAGAGAGAGAGAGAGAGAGAGAGAGAGAGAGAGAGAGAGAGAGAGAGAGAAGAGCTGGGGTGTTCCCTTATCATAGGCCCTGCTCTATTCCTGGAACATTACACCTCTCCTCCACATGCCCCAGGGCTCCTAGGAACATGTGGATGCAATGCTGCTATATTAAACGTCCCTGGTATCTTAGTGCACCAAGAGAATATGAAGGGAGATGACATGCCTGATGTCAGTTAAAGAGCATTAAAATTGAGTGATGGTTCGTGCCATAATGTGCTGACAAAAGTGTTTTGTACAGGTGAGTTCCACAATGAATTATTCAAATTGCTCCATAAGCTCAGAGAGGGAATTCAAAGCATAACTAATTGCTTGTCATGTTTTGGCAAGGGGCCACTGAGAGAAAGGGGGATGGGGGACTTTAAGAAGGAGGCTACAACTAGAATGGCAGCAACATTTCTGAAAAGCTGTGATACAGTAATAAAGCCCTTTTATTTGGCTTCTCTCTCCTCCCACCCCTTTCCTTCTACCTTTCTTTCCCCAGGAACACGTACCCACCTGGCTTCAGAACACTCATATCTACAGTTGGCCCCAAAATAAGAAGAACATTTTGTTGCGGCTGCTGAGAGAAGAGGAGTATGTAGCTCCTCCAATAGGACCTTTACCCACTCTCCAGGTTGTTCCATTGTGAGCATACATTAAAGTTCATATGAAGCCGTTGCTCTTGGCCAGCAGCCAGGGTTTTTCTGGCTTTGCCTTCTGCATGATGAAAAGCATGTGTAATCTCTCTCTCTCCCTACTCCCACTAATAGAATGTCTTGGGGTAATGCAAACCACATGTTTTCTTTTATGCTGAGTGTTTCCTTCTGCAACTGATCAGGGACACTGCTTCTCTGTCACCGTTTAAACAAACTGCAGATGGAAAGAACGTCACCATCACAAGGGTTTTTTTTTCCTTCCAATCTTTTCCAAGAAACTTGCAAATCTGTGGTAGGACATATAAATTCTGTAAATGATGCTGAAATAAGCAAAACAATTACATCCACTTGTTTGCTCAGGATTCCTTTTGTTGTCTGCCAAATGTTCTTGAATTGTGTGATGGTCTCCCACAGTCATTTCACGTACACAATAAAAGAGTTACCATTCATATGGCCTGCCATTTTTATCACTGTGGAGACATAGGGGTTTAACACTTTCATTGTGAGTAAACATAGACACCCTAGTCATTGGTTAAGTACATTACTCTGCTGGTTCTGTACCTTGTTGCTGCTCTTTGAAACAATGACACAGCCATTTAATGCTAGATTGGAGGAGCATAAACACAAACCTGGCACCACCTCTACTCTTTCCAAACTGCCTACAGCTTCCTTCATCTTAGAACAGAGTAATATTGCACTCAGGGCAGGGCAGTTGCAAACCCATTTATCCCATAATGTGTAGGATCATTACATCTGTGACAACCAATGGTGGCATAAACCAGTGGGATCCATATTGTGGCCAGCAGCTGGTGAGATGAACAGACCTAGCGAAAGTTACTTTTTGGACTACAGCTTTATTTTGTACTCCAAAAGGTAACTTTCGCTAGCTCTGCTCATCTCATTTCCAAGCTTTAGAGATGAGGTGGAGAACAATAGGCATCTATGGGACTGCTGGATTGAATGTTCAACTTGGCTGAATGTGCTAATTAATGTTCACCTTACAAACATAACAGTAGCAACATTATCAACAAAAAAAACCATCCCAAAGAAAAGGAAATGCAAGAAAGCAAAGTGGCTGTCCAACGAGGCTGTACAAATAGCAGAGAGGAGAAGGGAAACAAAATGCAAGGGAGATAGGGAAAGTTACAGAAAATTGAATGCTGACTTCCAAAGAATAGCAAGGAGAGACAAGAGGGTCTTCTTAAATGAACAATGCAAAGAAATAGAGGAAAATAATAGAAAAGGAAAAACCAGAGATCTGTTCAGGAAGATTGGAGATATTAAAGGAACATTTTGTGCAAAGATGGACATGATAAAGGACAAAAATGGGAGGGACCTAACAGAAGCAGAAGATATCAAGAAGAGGTGGCAAAAATACACAGAGGAATTATACCAGAAAGATTTGGATATCCTGGACAACCCAGAGAGTGTGGTGGCTGACCTTGAGCCAGACATCCTGGAGAGTGAAGTCAAGTGGGCCTCAGAAAGCCTGGCTAACAACAAGGCCAGTTGAACTAGTTAAAATCTTAAAAGATTATGGTGTTAAGGTGCTACATTCAATATGCCAGCAAGTTTGGAAAACTCAGCAGTGGCCAGAGGACTGGAAAAGATCGGTCTACATACCACCCTCAAAGAAGGGCAGTACCAAAGAATGCTGCAACTACCGTACAATTGCACTCATTTCCCATGCTAGCAAGATTATGCTAAAAGTCCTCCAAGGTAGGCTTCAGCAGTATGTGGACTGAGAACTCCCAGAAGTACAAGCTGGATTTCAAAGGGGCAGAGGAACTCGAGACCAAATTGCTAACATGTGCTGGATTATGAAGAAAGCCAGAGAGTTCCAGAAAACATCTACTTCTGCTTCATTGACTATGCAAAAGCCTTTGACTGTGTGGACCACAGCAAACTTTGGCGAGTCCTTAACGAAATGGGAGTGCCTGACCACCTTATCTATCTCCTGAAAAACCTGTACGTGGGACAGGAAGCAACAGTTAGAACTGGATATGGAACAACTGATTGGTTCAAAAGGCTGTATATTGTCCCCCGGCTTATTTAACTTACATGCAGAATACATCATGTGAAAGGCCAGACTGGAGGAATCCCAAACCGGAATTAAGATTGCCAGAAGAAATATCAACAACCTCAGATATGCAGATGATATACCACTCTGATGACAGAAAGTGAGGAGGACTTAAAGAACCTCTTAATGAGGGTGAAGGAGGGGAGCACAAAAATGGCCTGAATCTCAACATCAAAAAAAATTAAAATCATGGCCACTAGTCCCATCACCTCCTGGCAAATAGAAGGGGGAAAGATGGAGGCAGTGACAGATTTTACTTTCTTGAGCTCCATGATCACTGCAGATGGTGACAGCAGCCAAGAAATTAAAAGACACCTGCTTCTTGGGAGGAAAGCAATGACAAACGTCGACAGCATCTTAAAAAGCAGAGACATCACCTTGCCAACAAAAGTCCGAATAGACAAAGCTATGGTTTCTCCTGTAGTGTTGTATGGAAGTGAGATCTGGACCAGAAGGAAAGCTGACTGCCGAGGAATTGATGCTTTTGAATTGTGGTGCTGGAGGAGGCTCTTTAGAGTCCCCTGGACTGCAAGGAGAACCTATCAATACTGAGTGCTCACTGGAAGGACAGACCCTGAAGCTGAGGCTCCAAGACTTTGGCCATCTCATGAGAAGAGAAGACTCCCTGGAAAAGACCCTGATGTTGGGAAAGTGTGAAGGCAAGAGGAGAAGGGGACGACAGAGGATGAGATGGTTGGACAGTGTCATCAAAGCGTCCAACATGAATTTGGCCCAGCTCCGGGAGGCAGTGGAAGACTGTTTTGTTTTGTTTTGTTTTTGCACAAGCTGACAATAGGGCACTGGGCTGGTGTATTTATTCACTTGTGACACAGCATAGGGTCAAGGCTGTAGTTCCCAACAGCTTTTGAAGATTATTATTCTTGGTGAAGATCTTTTGACAGTGGGTTTTTTTCAGAGCAGCATATGATCTGAAATATCACCTAGGCATTTGGGGGCAAACCAACAATCTAGCTCACTTTCTTTCCAGATAACTTGATGTTTCCAACATGCCTGCTTCTTTCTCAGGTGAAATATATATACTTGAATCTCAGTAGGGCTGGGTTTAAGTTGGTTTCTATTGTAATATGCACAAAGTTCTTCTAATGATCTGTTATGAGATGTTTTACTATCTAAAAACTGTCCAGCTGAGTAGCGAGTGTGAGATCATTAACATAAATAAAACTTTTGGTGTCTTGGGGAAATACGTGATCATTGGTATAGATATTAAACAAATCAGGGCCAATAGGATGCTGTGAAGAATCTGTGCTATAGTTCTTCCAGAGCCTAAAGCTACAGTTGTTGGAGGATGAGTGGTTCTGCTACTTCCATTAGATGTTTCAGAATTGTTATTTTCATTACTTTATGAAGATCACAAAATAATGAAATTGGCCTGACAAATGTCAGGATCTGTGGGCTCTTTAATGTGTTTCAAAACAGCAATCACTCATGCTGTTCTCCAGCTTTTCGGAATCCTGAAAGGTTCAGGACAATTATTAAAGAAATTAAGGAGCCACATTTTTTGTTACTGTGCCAAACTCTTTTTGTCTGTTCTACACAGATGTCATCCAGGCCTGCTACCTTCCCATTTTTGCACCTACAAATAGCTTTTTCCAATTCACTTAAGCTAAAAGTTCTTGTAAAGTCATTAGTCTCCAGCTGCTTGTTTCTTTCTTTCAAGTTTTAATTCTAATTTCCTGTGGAGATCTCTGGTTCTTCCATTAATGAGAAGTTGATGCACATGTGGTTTGCTGACATGTTGCATGAATAAGTGCCTTTAGTTTGGTCATTGTTAAATCACTTTAAGCCTGAAGAAATTAATCCAGGCCAAAACAGTTTCTTCACTCACTCAGAGGTTTTTGTTCAAATAACAAAGAATAACTATTAATTTGGGCAACTATTTCCGATAATAAATCTTGGAAGTAGTTGGTTCTCAGATTATAGACAGAGGTAATTAGATCCTTGGGCTTATTGGCAGTCAGGATGATGTTTTCACCACCTCAGCGAACTGGTCATAAACCGTTTGTATGGGAAAAATATGCAATATAATTCCATCCAGTGTTATACTGAACTAATTATTGGGCAAAAATTATCTGATATACTTATCTAATCTTTACAATTTTATTTTTGTAAACCAGTTTGTATTTCATATTGCTAATAATACAGGTTATTGCTTATTTTTATACTGCATTCTACTGTGTTGTGGTTCTTATGATATGAATAAAGAAAAAATAGTAGTTTGATCACTGTATAAAGACAAATAAGAATATTGTAAATTTCAAGACTGAATAATTTATTGAGGAGAAAAGAAACAGCAAAAGGATAAACTCCTACAAAGAAGTTGAACAGAAAAATAACATAGGACTTATACTTGGGATCTAATTGTTAATATTTGGATAGGAGGGGGAACACTGATTTTAAAAAAATCCTAAGAATTTAGAATAATAACAGAGAAATAGATTATTTAAGTTGCAGTCTGAAGTGCCACATTCTTGGAAATAAGTCAAAATGAGAGCAGTGAAACTTCATTCTGAAGGCAGATGGGTTTAATTAAAATTGCGCAATGTGAGAATGAAAAGATTTTAATAGTGCATTAATGAAAATGTTATTACCATATATCTTCTGCTTAAATTCATTACGTAAGTAACTTTGCAACAAACCAGGTAAACACTGTGTTGGATGCCATTCTTACCTAGCAGAAGGTATGATTCTGGGCTATTGGAAAAGACAGAAATTTGCCACAACTGCAAGTGTTTTAGATGTGTGTTCTTCCCATTCCCCCACGTAATGTATAGACCAGGGTTAGTTATTGTGGCCCTCCAGGTGTTTCTCATGGCAGCTGTCATCTGTTTTAGCTAGCAAAATGATGCTAAAAGATAATGCCAGCTGTAGTCCCATATCTGGAGTGCCATCTGTAGCAGGCCACTCTCAAGCCTTTACCCATCCAGGCCTCTAAGAGTGCTCACTACCTTTCACCAAAACTGCTGCCACCAACCTATCCTTAAAATCAAAAGGACAAGTGTTTCTTTCAAACAAAATAAAGATGTTTATTGATTACACAAAATTAAAAAGGGTAAATCACTGGTATTAAATCAATTAGTCAATCACTGTTTCTCAGACACTAGCTCACACAGACTTTTCCCTCACTGACAGGCTCTTTCTCACTCTCAATCAATCTCTCTAATCACTCATCTTCCAAACTCAATCTGCTCTTCTCTCACACCTCACACACACCTTATACAACCCAGCTCCTCCCACTTCTGCACCACCCTTCGTCCTCTCATTGGCTGAAGTTTCCCTGACCAGCTGTGATGGACAGGTGAGAGCAGAGCTGAATGCCACACCATCCATTGCAGGGTTTTTTTCCCCGTTGTGGAAACAACTCTGCCTTGTCACCACTTCAGGGATACGCATACCTAGCTCCAAACAGAGTGCCAGTCCTCTTGTTCTCAACAATTGCATACGCTTTTTCGAGATAGGTGGTTGATCCCATTTAAAAAAGTAGGTACAAGTCATGTTTATACCATTAAACACATATTTCACACCTTCTAAGAACTCCATTATGTTGTTTCTTACAAAATTCACATAGTGCTATGGATGGAAGCAATGTAATGACTCTCTTGAAAAGCAGCTAATAAATACCCTGCACAGCCAGGAAAGAGCATGGATTTAGAACTCATGAAAGGCCGGTCAATTCTGCCATGTCATCTTGCTATTGGAAGCAGGAAGAACTAGTAGCTCTTGGGTTTTATTCTCTCAGGAATATTGCATATTTGGCTAAGAAAAGTCTGAATCCAATTCCACAACACACTCACCACACAAATTATTGATGCATGAACTAAACATTCTGAATCTGTTTGCACAGTGTGAAATACTCTTCTTATTTCTGTGTAGTCTCAGTAGAGTCACACATTTTTGGAATGATTGTGAAGTACAGAGCTTCCTGCAAGTAAGATTTTA